TTTAACTGTTCCTATTTTTCAGTGATGGGAACATCAGATCATTTGATGTTCCCATTTTTCTGATGGGAACATCAGCTCATTTGGGAATGCACTGGAGGACGGAGTGGGGGAATGGTGGGGAGGACGGGGGTAATGGTGGGGAGGACGGGGGTAATGGTGGGGAGGACGGGGGTAATGGTGGGGAGGACGAGGGAATGGGGAAGTGGGAGATGGTGAGGACAAGGGGATGGGGGAGTGGAGAATGGTGGGAGGACAAAGGGACAGGGCAGTTGGAGATCAAAGGGTGGACAATGGGATGGGGGAGGGGGGGAATGGTAGGGAGGACAAGGTGAGGGGGTTGTGGGGGATGATGGGGGGGACAAGGGAGCGAGGAATGGCGGGGGGGGGGGGACGAAAGGATGGGGGGGAGAGGGAGGGGACTGGGGTGTGGAGAATGGTTTGGAGGACGAGGAGACAGGGGAGGGGGGAATGATGGGGAGGACAGTGACAGGGGAGGGTTGCTGTGGCTCAGCAATGTGCATGTGTTGCTGAACCACAGCAATGCGTGGCCAGGTACAGCTAGTTTCGTTATTAAATTATATTACTTCACAGTACAAATATTTTTCATGTTCTACATTCAGCACCAACATTATAGTGAGTAAATATATCATATTTCTTCATTACTGTATTTTTCATAATGCTAGGAAGCTTTGGGTAATTAGAAGGACTGAATGAATTATTACATTTACTTACTATGCTATAAACTTTTAACTGCCACAAACTTGTTATCACTGTGTTGACTATTCTGTCACCTCTTGCTTAAAAGTCAAAATGATCAATAGGCCTTGCATTCGCTGCCTGAATTCACATTGAAAATAAATTAGGATCAAGCCAGCATTTGCTCTACATGAGGTTTCTGTCAAGCAGAACTGGGCTTAAGACACCTGTGTTATCATTTGACAAGTATACCGCCCCAGTCAAACTCCTCACCTGATAACATTACACTGGATAATGATCCAGGATGCTGAGATGTCGTGACTCTTTATTTTCACTTGTGGGTTGGGTGTTTATAAAGTGATTACCATGAAACACCAAACCCATATATACAGTCCACTACGGGCTCACCATAGCCCGTGCTACTTGGAACTTTTTGTTCCAGGTAGTGAATCTTAAACAACAACAACCAAACCCATTCTCACAAGAAATGGTTAGTTATCTAAATATTTGTGATATTTTGATAGCATATTTTTTTTTAAATAATAGTCTACTTGCAAGTGAATCTTATGTCCTAAACAAAGATAATTCTCTGGTTATAACTTTACTGCATTATAAATCATTTGTTAAAAATATAAGAAGTTTAAGCTTAATTAGTTTACTTTGAAATGGTCTGAAGAATTTGGTTTTCTGTAAATGAAATTCTAGAGGGGGTACACAAATAGGCTTTGAGTATTTTATTTATTTATTTATTTTTTTTATTTATACAAGCATTCTTACATTCTTGTAAAGGCACTAGCCTTGTGCCTCTCTTGAGGGGGCCAGGTACTGGCTCTGGTCTCGGTAGGCCTAGAACTCCTTCGATTGACTGTTGCCACGGTCTAATATATACACATCAGCCCGGTGTAAGTCCAGGGAGCCCCTGGGTCACACCCAGAAAATGGCGTTTCATTACATTCAATGCTGTTTTTTTTTTTGTTTTTTTTTTGCCAGACTTCCCCACCCTACTGTGGCCAAAATATGCTACTTACGATTTTTTGATTATTTTTCCCATGATCAGGGAACACAAATGAACACTTTTTTAAGTCTAATTTTTTTTTTTGCACCTTTGAGTGTTGAAAGCCAAATAGCCCAGATTTAACCCCAAATAGTTTAGGGGTTAAATAAATTTATTTATTTAACCCCATTTCAAAACCCTATCTAGATCATTTGGGGTGATTTTGAGTCTTCCAAGTTTATTTCCCTCCCAATTGTGTAATAGGTTACTGGGTAATATAATACAGGCATACCTCAGTTTAAGAGTTTAATTGGTTCCTGGAGACGCCTCGTATTCCGAAAACTCGCATTCCGAAGCTAATTTCCCCATAAGAAATAAAGGGAAATGAATTAATCCGTTCCTGACTACCCCAAAAACCCCACATCAAACTAAATTTTAATACCTAATTCATCTAAATAAACCTACAAAACTACAGTATGTTCAAGTTATTACTTACCTTGCTGTTGAATGCTGTAGGCGTATGGAAGATGGTGAGGAGGTGGGAGGAAGAGAGGAGTTACTGTTTGGAAGGAGAGTCTCCTTCCATTATAACATCAGGCAGTGAGGACTTCACTGGTATGCACACTCTGGCACATTTTGCCTGCATACCACTAGGACTTGCTTCTTTTACTAAGAATTTGTCTAATGACACTTGTTTTTCCCTACATTTTAACACTTGTCTGTAGTAAGACATCACATTATCATTTAAAAGGTCAATGCAACGGCCTACTACAGCTTTATCTGGGTGAGTTTTTTCAACAAAACTTTGCAGTTCTTCCCATACTTCACACATTTTCTTAATCAAGAAGGGACATCCTCTACTGCCTCTACTCACAGCTATTTTCTTAGGTTGAACCTTACCAATGGCTTTCTTGAGACCCATGGCAAGATATATAATGACAACTTTTATGCTCAAATGGCCAAAAAACCAGCGTTGAATGTAATGAAACGCCATTTTCTGGGTGAGTCCCGGAGGCTCCCCGGAGCTATCCCAGGCTGATATGCTAATGTCAGACTTTGGCATCAGTCATGTGTATGGAGTTCTTAGGCCTACCGGGGACCACGGCCAGAACCGGGCCCCCTCAGAGAGGCAAGGGGAGCAATGGCCTATAGAAGCCCCCGTGTAGTTGGAAGCATTCTATGTCTGCCATCGACCGGAACAGGCACCCAGAAAGGTAAGCGCCCCAAAACAAACCCCTATTCTGGTTAAAATTGCTACCTAAAACCGAACTAGTGGATAGAACTCCCCAACCGAAAACAAGCAAACTAGTGTGACGTCACACACTGCCGCGCCGCTGTCTGCGCAGCTCCCCCCTCCCCGGGAGGGGGAAGGGGGAGCCCCAGACCCCCCGCGCCGGCTACCCACACCTCAGTTCTTGAGGCTGGATGTCAAAAACGCGAAAAACCGCCGACCGGAGGGAGGGAGGGATGCCGGGGAGCCTCCGGGACTCACCCAGAAAATGGCGTTTCATTACATTCAACGCTGGTTTTCTGGGGGGAGCCCCGTCGGCTCCCCGGAGCTAACTACCCACAGACAGAAAAAGAGGGACTTACCCGGGAGGCGGTCGTCGCTCACCCCTCAACTCGAAGCCGAGACAACTGGCTGCAACCGCCGACCCAAAGCAACACAGGCCCGACGAGGCCCAGGGACATTCACAAGGTAACGCGCAGCCAGGACCCTGTTCGACCGCCAAAATCCCCGCGCCCGAATATCAGACCAAGACATATTCCCAAAGACGGCAGCAAGAGCCGCGAACTTACGAACGTCATGGGCACGGGGATAGACCGCAGGCTGGCTGGACCTAATAACCCTGCGGACGACCTGAGAGACCCGAACCCGCGAACAGGGAAGAAGGGAAACCGGATCAACCCACAGCGCGTCCCCGGACACAGAAGCTGTGGCGCGCAAATAACGGCGAAGCGCCGCAACCGGACACAAAACATGATGCACCCCGGCCTGACCAACCAAGCATCAACCACCCATGGACCCCTCCGGAACGCAGCAGTCTCATTCTCCGCCAGAAAAGAAGGAGACGGCTGCAAACGAACAAAACTATCACCACGACCAAAAGAGCAGAAACCCCTGCGCCGGAGGAGAGCATGAAGCTCCCCTACCCGACCCCCAGAGGCCAAAGCCAACAAGAAAAGTGCCTTGGAAAAACAATCCTGGACCGAAGGGGCCACAACGAAACGAGGAGATGAAAGGAAAGCGAGCACTCTGTCCAAAGACCAGGACGGCTCAGGCGACGCATGAGCAGGCCGGAGGTGAAACAATGCACGAGACAGCTTGCGAAACGGCGCAGACGGAACACCGATACCGAAAGCAAGCTGAAGCGGGGGGTCTGGGGCTCCCCCTTCCCCCTCCCGGGGAGGGGGGAGCTGCGCAGACAGCGGCGCGGCAGTGTGTGACGTCACACTAGTTTGCTTGTTTTCGGTTGGGGAGTTCTATCCACTAGTTCGGTTTTAGGTAGCAATTTTAACCAGAATAGGGGTTTGTTTTGGGGCGCTTACCTTTCTGGGTGCCTGTTCCGGTCGATGGCAGACATAGAATGCTTCCAACTACACGGGGGCTTCTATAGGCCATTGCTCCCCTTGCCTCTCTGAGGGGGCCCGGTTCTGGCCGTGGTCCCCGGTAGGCCTAAGAACTCCATACACATGACTGATGCCAAAGTCTGACATTAGCATATCAGCCTGGGATAGCTCCGGGGAGCCGACGGGGCTCCCCCCAGAAAACCGATAAAAAACTTTAAATCCTTGTGAAGAATTCAGGTGGGATAGTCACTGGACACGAGACACTGGTAAACTGAGGCGCGATTGCCATGCCACCACGCGCCAGTCGGCCTGTACACGTATCAACAAACTCGCGTTCCGAGGTAACCCTCGCCTTCCGAGACATAATTTCTGAGGAAATCCTGCTCGTCTTCCGAAAAACTCGCATACAAGGACACTCGCATTCCGAGGTACCACTGTATTAAAATATGGGATCACTTGATTGTTTCAAGCATAGGTTAAACATATGCATTATATGAATGAGTTTGGGTCGATATAAATTGGAGCAGCCACATATGGGGAAATAGATCTCCTGCAGTTTCCTTAATTCTTATGTTTTTATGATGTGAGTTATATGTGTGGAGCTATCTCAGTGTGGCTAACTACAGGGAGTTACTGCTTGGCGGCCCTCTCTAGAAAACAAGGTTAATGTACAATATTTCTCATACTAAACGCCAGGGAACAACAAGCTAAGGAAATAAGTATACTGTATAGTACTCACCAGTGTTTCATCTCCAAGATAGTGAATAATTATATAGGCTTGTTTCCTTCTGGTAGTGGGTAGTTCAGCATCGACAACAGAAGAATCTACCATCCTCTCCCATGTTACCCGAATGAAAGCATCAGATTTTGTTCCATCCTCTGCATCAACAGAATTATATTTTGTCTGAAACAAAAATAAACTTGTTTTAAATTTGTTATGCAAATGCTTGTAGATGACTAGAGGACTTTGCCAAGTGGAATTCATGTTTTTACAGTAATTTGACTTACAGAGATGTCCAAGACGGGGGAAGTTTCTGTAGCCTTATCCTTTAATTCCAAGTGAGGATACAGGAATTACCTTCTAATTCCAAGTGAAGGTATAATGGGCTTTACCATCCAATTCCAAGTAAAGATATAATGGGCTTTACCATCCAATTCCAAGTGAGGATATAGGGGGGGATTACCACCTGATTCTGTGTACCGGTATAAATGGTTTCACAATGTTTACTTGGGGGGGGTGCCCCTTTCACTCCCCAGAGACCCCGGAGCTATCCGGGAAGATATGAATGTATTAGATCCTGGCATCAGTCAGGATCGAATGGAATTCTAGGACTAGAATTCGCTCTAGAACTCCATTCATAGAAAAAAATGGAGTTCTAGGCCTACCGGGGACCACGAGCCAGAACCTGGCCCCTCAGAGAGGCATGAGGAGCAATGGCCTATAGAAACCCGTGTGGTTGGAAGCATTCTATTTCTGCCATCGACCGGGTCAGGCACCCAGAAAGGTAGCTACCCCAAAGCAAACCCTGTCTGGTTAAAATATTGCTACTGAAAGACGAAGTTTTCGACAGAACTCCCGAAACGAAAAACAAGCAAACAAGCATGATGTCACAACCATCACTGTGCCGCTTTCTGCACAGCTCCAGCCCCTCTTCGGGAGGGGAGTTGGGGGGGGGAGCTGTGCAGGGGGACCCAGACCCCCAGCTGTCAGGGGGCCTGACAGCTGAGTGGACAGCGCATCAGATTCGTAGTCCTGAGGTTCTGGGTTCGATTCCCAGTGAAGGCGGAAACAAATGGGCAGAGTTTCTTTCACCCTGATCCCCCTGTTACCTAGCAGTAAGTAGGTACCTGGGAGTTAGACAGCTGCTACGGGTTGCTTCCTGGGGATGTGTAACAAAAAGGAGGCCTGGTCGAGGACTGGGCCGCAGGGACGCTAAATCCCGAAATCATCTCAAGAAAATCTCAAGACCCCCGTGCCGGCTATCCACCCATCAGTTCTGTGACTGATGTGAGACCTGGCAGTCGTGCGACTCTGGCTCTGAATATGTTCCAGTGCTGTGCCTTGTGGTGTGGTCCTGTCCAATTGGTGGTGTGTGAGCCAGGAGTAGTTTTACCTATACTCGGGCTGCATGTGCCTAGGGTTACCTTCCCTAGGTGCCCTGTAAGTACTGCCCTTGTGGCTTGGGGTTATCTTCCCCAAGTCGCTTGGGAGCTACCTTCACTGAGGTCTTTTGCTGCTCGGTGACTGCCCACCCTTGGGGTCAGCTGAGGTGTTTCGTGCACCACTGTTTGTCTCTGGGTAGGAGGTAGTTTTGTCACTGGTACTCTGCAAGGTACTCTGCAGCTTGTTTTCACCATAATACAACAGCCAGCTTTGTTCTGCCTGGGTCGTAGTGCTCTTCCGGGGTTTTTCTTTTGGTTTTGTTTTTCCTGCCTGGTGGTGGTTGGGGGGGGGGGGAGGGTGTCTGTTATATATAATGGTCCTCCTCCACTAGGTCCCTGTGAGCGTACCCGTCCTGGGGGTTCACTTTTTAGCAGTTTGTTTGGTAGTTTGGGGTACCGGTTAGCAGTACTGTACCTTGCCTGGGCTTCCCTTAGCAGAGTGACTAAGGGTCCTGAAAAACCCCAGTGGGGCTCAGTGGTCCGATGTATGCGTCCCCTTGGGTACCTTCTTGCTTCATGCAAATTTGAGGGTTGCTCTGTCCCCTTGTCTCAGGGTGACAATCACCTGTTCTGCCTCCGTCATGCTGCCTGTTGGGTCAGTGACACCTTCGACACAGAGTCCTGCAAGTGGTGTTGCTTGCATGTACTCCACATCACCCAGTCTACTGATCATGATGTTCAGGTGCAGATGGATTTAGCGTTGCATGAGCGTTATAGGTTGCTGCAGCCCTTTGGTGTTGGTAGTTTGGGGCTAACCTAACCTGCAGTGCGCTAGGTCGGTTGCTCACCCCGATGCCTTGAGGCTGCCCTGTTTTGGTTATAGGGACCCAGACTTGGGAGTGTTAGTTGCCTCGACTTTGGTTCCATCCGCGCCCCTTAGTCCTTCCCCTGCTGTTGTTCATCCTATTCCTCCCCTTCCTCTGCTTCTGGCTCCGAATCGTCTGAGGGTTTCAAAGTCAAGGCAGGGGTTTAGTTGGTGGTCAGACTCGGGCAGTTTCGGGGGATGCACCATCTGATGTAGCGACAGAGCATTCAAGCCCGTTCCTCCAGTTGGTGCTTCTGGGTCTGACCAGTGGGCCCTCTTTGTTCCAGTTTTTCCAGCGACTTCTGCCTTTTCTTTTGAGGTGGAGGGTTTGGAGGATGGCTCGGCCCCGGGTCCTGATATGGAGGTTCCCAGGGCAGAGGAGGGGCTGACTTGTGGGGCTTGGGTCCCCCAAGTCAGCCCTGTGATGGTCTACTCGCCGGGTCAGGTTTGGCTTCATCGGCCGTTCTGGTTCCTTCGGGGACGCCCCTTCTGCCTCTCTCGCGATCGCTGGATTTGGCCTCTGGGTGCCTTGCATCGGCTGTTGCGTCACCGGCTTCCTGTTAATAATTACTGTATTAATCCCGTCTGGCTGTGGCTAGAGGCCCATGGTGTAGGAGGGGGTGGGGTGGGTGGGTGGTGTCGGGAGAGACGGGAGCGTTGGGAGGGACCACCTGGGGGATAATGGTCAGGAAGGGTGGGAGGGAGTGGGTCAGGGAGGGAGGGAGTGGGTCAGGGAGGGAGGGAGTTGGTCAGGGAGGGAGGGAGTTGGTCAGGGAGGGAGTAGGTCAGAGAGGGAGGGAGTCGGTCAGGGAGGGAGGGATTCGGTCAGGGAGGGAGGGATTCAGTCAGGGAGGGAGGGATTCAGTCAGGGAGGGAGGGATTCAGTCAGGGAGGGAGTAGGTCAGGGAGGGAGGGAGTCGGTCAGGGAGGGAGTCGGTCAGGGAGGGAGTCGGTCAGGGAGGGAGGGAGTCGGTCAGGGAGGGAGGGAGTCGCTCAGGGAGGGTGGGATTAGGTCAGGGAGGGAGGGATTTGGTCAGGGAGGGAGTAGGTCAGGGAGGGAGGGAGTCGGTCAGGGAGGAAGAGAGTTGGTCAGGCAGGGAGGGAGTCGGTCAGGGAGGGAGGGAGTGGGTCAGGGAGGGAGGGAGTCGGTCAGGGAGGGAGGGAGTCGGTCAGGGAGGGAGGGAGTCGGTCAGGGAGGGAGGGAGTCGGTCAGGGAGGGAGGGAGTGGGTCAGGGAGGGAGGGAGTCGGTCAGGGAGGGAGGGAGTCGGTCAGGGAGGGAGGGAGTCGGTCAGGGAGGGAGGGAGTCGGTCAGGGAGGGAGGGAGTGGGTCAGGGAGGGAGGGAGTCGGTCAGGGAGGGAGGGAGTCGGTCAGGGAGGGAGTGAGGAGTGAATTTTCTTATATTTCTTCGGCATCTGTGTTTAGCTAGTTTAAATCTATGACCTCTTGTTTTTAAAGTTCCAGGTCTCAGGAAATCTTCCTTATCGATTTTATCAATTCCTGTTACTATTTTGTATGTAGTGATCATATCACCTCTTTTTCTTCTGTCTTCTAGTTTTGGCATATTTAATGCCTCTAACCTCTCCTCGTAGCTCATGCCCTTCAGTTCTGGGAGCCACTTAGTAGCATGTCTTTGCACCTTTTCCAGTTTGTTGATGTGCTTCTTAAGATATGGGCACCACACAACCGCTGCATATTCTAGCTTTGGCCTAACAAAAGTCGTGAACAATTTCTTTAGTATATCGCCATCCATGTATTTAAAAGCAATTCTGAAGTTAGAAAGCGTGGCATAGGCTCCTCGCACAATATTCTTTATGTGGTCCTCAGGTGATAGTTTTCTATCTAGAACCACCCATTGGTTGATATAACTAGGAACCAACTAGGACATTGAAAAACTTCAAGCTGATATTAATATAGTTTTCGACTGGGCATCAGAAAATAACATGATGTTTAACAGTGATAAATTCCAGGTACTCAGGTACGGTAAAAATGAGGACCTTAAACATAATACAGAGTACAAAACACAATCAAATGTACCCGTAGTAGGAAAACAGCATGTAAAGGATTTGGGAATAATAATGTCTGACGACCTAACGTTTAAGGAGCATAACCAAGCAAATATTGCGACAGCCAGAAAAATGATAGGATGGATTACGAGAACTTTCAAATCCAGGGATCCCACCACAATGGTTGTACTCTTCAAGTCACTTGTGTTGTCCCGTCTTCAGTACTGCTCAGTACTCACTTCCCCCTTCAGAGCAGGAGAGATTGCTGAAATAGAGGGAATACAGAGAACATATACGGCACGCATAGACGCAATAAAGCACCTAAATTATTGGGATCATCTCAAAGCCCTCCAAATGTACTCACTAGAAAGAAGACGAGAGAGATATCAAATAATATACACCTGGAAGATACTGGAGGGCCAAGTACCAAATCTACAGCGCAAAATAACAACTACTGGAGTGAACGACATGGAAGAAAATGTAGAATAGAACCAGTGAAGAGCAGAGGTGCCATAGGCACAATCAGAGAACACTGTATAAACATCAGAGGTCCGCGGTTGTTCAACGTCCTCCCAGCAAGCATAAGAAATATTGCCGGAACAACCGTGGACATTTTCAAGAGGAAACTAGATTTATTCTTCCAAGGAGTGCTGGACAAAGCCGGGCTGTGGTGGGTATGTGGGCCTGCGGGCCGCTCCAAGCAACAGCCTGGTGGACCAAACTCTCACAAGTCGAGCCTGGCCTCGGGCCGGGCTTGGGGAGTAGAAGAACTCCCAGAACCCCATCAACCAGGTATCAACCAGGTAACCTCTGAATGTCTTTCTTTATCAGAATTCTTTAATGATTTCTCACATAATATATAGGTTGTGTGGGGTCTATGTTCTCCTATTCCACATTCCATAACATGACATTTATTAACATTAAATTCCAT